GGGAGAGGAGGAGATGCATGCAACATGAAGAGCACAAATATTAGATAAAACGTATAATTGCCGGCAGGTCTGGTCTTTGTTGACTGATCACTTTGTCTGGTAATGACTGACTCTGATTATGAAGCAGAATATTGACTCTGATGAAGAAATTCACTCATCCAGCCGGGAAGATTGATGCTGCTGCAGCATCAGACAGCTGGTGCTGCACGAGAGGTGTGTGGAGTTTACAAGCTCCAAACGTTGGGTTTGATGTTGGTTTAACCTTCTGTGGGACGTGATGGATGTAGAAATGATGGTAAAAACACCGCTAATGTGATAGACGTAGCGACAATGTAAAAAAAAAAAAGCCGTAAAAAGGGGCAGATGCCGATGCGTTATATGTGGAATTCAAAGTGTGCCACATAATCATAAAAAAGTAAAATATAAAATTTAAAAAGAGCTTTATATATTTATATATAAATTGAAACTTTCCAAATATAATGAAAATTTCTAAATAACGTAACAACACGAATGAACATCTGTTGGTCAGGCTGAAAAGTTTGGGAACCACTGGTCTAAATGATAAGTGAATAAGGCTGGGCATTGAGCATCGATTGGAACCAGTTCCAACTGTTAGTTTTTCCCGGAATATTTCAAAGTTTTTTATTTCAATTCCTACTTTCGATTCCTAGAATGCTGACCGGAAGAGGAATCCGCGGCCGATCTCCGTGAAAAATAAACGTGATCTGCAAATTGTGATCAACACTTTCAGAGCTGATCACACCAGCTGTCTGTGTGCAGCACCGAGCGTATATGTGTGTTTGGGGGAGGGTACATTGGAACTTTGTGTCCCCCCCCCCCCCCCCCCCAGTTTGAAAATCCTATCTGCGCCCCTGAGTTGGGGCACATTTGAGGTCGGAAGCTGATTCCATCTGTGAGCAGCATAGTAGCTAAAAGCAGCTTCACCCTATTTGGTTTTGACCCGAGGTTCTACCAGCTGACTGCTTTATAAGGATCTCAGCGATCTGCTGGGTGTATATACTGCAAGGAGATCCAACATGTTGTAACGTCACGAAATGGACTGATTTTAAAGATCCCACCGGTCATATGCAGCCAGAGCAAATAACCCTGGCTACTACATGTTCTGCTGTATCCTCCCTTGTCAGGAGTCTGTGGGTCTGCACAACTCAGCATTTTAATCAGATGACTTCATCAGCTGAGTGCAGCTTCATCAGATAATAAAGATGAACAGTAGTATTCTTTTCCCCAAGGTTCCTCACAAGAAAACTCTTTAGATAAACTTTTTGTTCTCCAAAAGAAAAAAAGATCTTATAATTCAAAATAGTCATTATGAACTTTTGTTATTATAAGCAATGAAATGTTCATGAATCTGTACTCAAGGATTGTTTAAGTATGTTTACTGGATTAGGTCATCACCATCTGCTCACACCAGACAGAGAGTAAGGCTGAGATAAGAACGCATGACACATAACTAACCTTTTCCCTAGACTCAGAGACTCTGCCTCTCAGACCGTGTGTTTCTGAGATTCTTGGTAAGTTTGGTAATAGATAACAGCAGGTATATAAACCAGCCACTCTGCTTTCTCGGCAGTCGGGAGAGAAAGCTAGAGACTGGCCATCTCTTAGCAGATCTCTAACTCAGAAAGAATTTGACACGCTGTCAAAACCTTAAAGCTTTTTGCACCAGCGAAGCTGAACAGCAAGATAGTTTTCCTGCAGAACAAAGCTGATTTTGCAAACTCCTTCAGAGTTATTTTAAGACGTGTGGTTTCCATCCATCTGTCGTGACCCGAGACACATCTCTAGGACTGAAAGGATGGCACCTCGGCACTCTACAGCCCTCCGGTGCCAGCGGTCATCCGACCACTCTGACTTTCAGATCCACCAAGAGGGTGCCTCTACAGTAATGTAGACACACAGATAGCGTCTGTATGCAGTTTGATAAATAACAGCTTATAACTTATCTGCAAACCAAATTCTTTTATCCAGAAGGCACCTCTCTGAAGATACGGAGATTCTGATTCATCATCTCATATTCACATATAGTTTTCAGACACCCATCTTTTACTTCCATCCACTCACAGGATAATAGTTAAAACCATTTGCTAACTCTTAATTGTTTGTAAAATAAATTCTTATTTGTTTGCAAACACTTACTGGTTCTTGAATCATAAACGAAGTGCGAATGATCCCTTAATAATTAAAAGAATCCTAGAACCTTCTAATTAATCATCCTAAGACCAAGCAAGGTGATATTCTATTAATGGAGTATTACAGCTATCGGTCACAAGTAATGAGAATAGCAATAAATAGCTTTTAAAGCAATTTATTTAGCCCACATTACTCTACTATTTTCCATTACAATGTATTTTGGCCCCATGCCATTGAGTGATTTATAAACTAGCAGTAGCAATTTGAAATCAATTCTGTAGTTTACTGATAACCAGTGTAGAAACTTAAGAACAAGAGTACTCCTTATTTAATCTTCTTACTTTCCAAATCAAGTCTGCGTTCTGTTACCGCTAAATGACACATGCAGACAGATGAGCAATAACTTTCATCCTATCCCTCTTGTTTCCAAAGACAATAACTTCAGTCTTGTCTTTGTTTAGCTGGAGGAAGTTTGACTGCATCCGGTCAATGACTTGCTCTAAACACTGACTGAGTGAGTCTAGAGGACCACAGTCACTAGGTGATAGAGCTAGGTAGAACTGGGTGTCATCTTTCATTAAAAAATCACACCCCTCAGAGTTATCAGGCCCTAGTGGATGAGGGTGGAACCGCATTTTTTGCCACTTCCTTGTTTGCTTAAAGTCGCTGTAGATTTATGGGTGCTGAGTACTAATACATAAATCCTACATGTCTCATAAACCATACTGACATTGAATATAATGTGACTCTCCATTCATACACATCTTAAAAAACGGCTTGAAATTTATACCAGCCCAGCCAGCTCCATCTCTCAGTCGCGGTGCAACTCTCCATCCACCTGCAGCTATGTGTCACCCTTCAATTTTCTTCAGTGTTTTCATTTATTATTTAAGTAATGATAATGTTTTGTTTGTTGCCAGTAAAAATGTATCTTAATTTTTTTATATTATTTTCATTTTAACATTTACAAAAACAAAGCATGCTGGGAAATCTGTTCATCCAATCAGTTGTATCCAATTAGTTTCATCATAAATGTCATCACAGACAAATCAACTTCTAGTTAAGTTTTTTGTGGCGAGACGCTAACAAGCCTTTAGTTTAGTTTTAGATTATTATTATTATTATGATAATAATAATAATAATAATAATAATAATAATAATATTAGAATTTGTGTGTGTGTGTGTGCGTGCGTGCGTGCGTGCGTGCGTGTGTGTGTGTGTGTGTGTGTGTGTGTGTGTGTGTGTGTGTGTGTGTGTAAATGAGCTTTAGGGTATATGAGGCAACTTAGTTTTCCGATAAATTTTATATTTTGCTTAACTTAGCAGTTTTTCTTGGTCTGTTGATGGTTTTAACTTTTTTGCATTGTGCTGTTGCGTTAAGCTCAGTTTTTGTGCTGGAGCAGGGAAACAACTAAAACATGATGGACAAGGAATGTTGAGGACCAAGATTAGAGAGCTGGTGTAAAAAATTAGGCATCAAAGTTTTTACTTCAATAGCTGGTGGGCCGGTGTCGGTACAGGATCTGCTCGGGTACAGGATCTGCTCGGGGTCCTTCGACTGCCGATGACGTCAAAGTAGTTGATTGGCTGAACATGAAGCTTATGGAAGTTACGTTATCACGTTATGATTTTGATTGGTCAGAACAAATTTGTGGTCGTAGTCTTAGCGGTTGGAGTCCTGTAGTCCATAAATCAACACTTTTTGGAGAAAATATGTTTGAATTTCTATAGGAAATGTAAAATTTAAGCAAATGATAAACGGTGACCCTCAAAAGCTCTTGATGTTGATGAAATGGGGCAAAATAAAATAAAAGAACTTTATTGAAACACACCAAGCAATATTTTGAGTCAAAGAATGTATTTAGATAACAACTAACGAAATATACAGACGAACTCCACATTAACACAAACAGACATGGCTTCACATATAAGAACTGTTTTATTTTTTGTCAGTCCGATGTTGGTTTTATGCAGTTTCACATTCTTTACAAAACAAAGGTAATGTGGTGTTTTCTTAACAAATTCCAATCATAAAGAAAACATTTAGGTGTTATACAAGAATTTATTAACAAAACTGCTGATGTCTTTCCAAAACGTATGTGTGAAAGCCGAGTAGATTTGCAGTAATGTGACCTCATCGGCAGTCGAAGGACCCCGAGCCGATCCTGCACCCGAGCAGATCCTGTACCGACACCGGTGCTGGCTCAAAATGGGCTGGCTCAGTCCAGCCCTGACCCTGGGTGACCCCATGTCATGGGGATCTGCTCTGATTTGTGACTCCTCTATGTCTGAATGAAGTTAAAGTTCTGTGGTTTGATAAGTCATAAAATGTTCTGCTGACAAGTACCAGATTCTGGATAGAACCTGAAAAATAGTTAATCAGTTCACGTTAAAGCCCCAAAAGAAGGTGTGACTGCTTGGGTGGAAAATGTGAAGAAGTGAGGGCTTGATAACAACTTTTGACCCTTACAGGTTTGTAATAGCTTCATGTTCATGTGAAGTAGTTTTTGTGTTTGTTTGTTATTGTCACGTACGTCGTTACAGAATGTGTTGATGTGGTCTTGTTTTTTTAAGTGTGTATCTCAGAGAACCTTTTTAACAATACATTTCTTTCACTTTCTGATGTACTTGAAAATTCTGATGCTGAAATTAGAAATTTGCATGAAAGATTTGTTATTACTGATGTAAATTAGCCTTTAGGTGAGTTCAAAAACAGGAAAAACTTAAGATTAATTTTCATAGTTGCTGCTGCTTGCCAGTGGCGCGTTCATGGATCTAAAATCAACAAATTTTGAGTTTCCGATTGTCTTATTATAAAATCTGTTAGTGACAGTTCTCTTAAATTGCAGCAAAAAACAAAGTAAAACCTTTGGGCATCCCGATGACAGAAAACCCCCAGAACGACTCACATCACCACCCTGCTGAAGGTGAGTGGCTCGGATGTTCCACAGACGGACAATGTGATTAAGGTCTGACTGGCTGCCCTCGTGTTTAATAACCTGTTGTATAAACTATAGGAGTAAAAGTTTTGACCCAGATTAGTCATTCAAATAACGCAGGAAAACATTCATGCTGACGTTGCTGCTGCAGCAGCTTAAATCTCAGACACCCAAACAGACTTCCAGAAGACTAACATTGTCCCAGATTTCTAGTGAAACGTTAATGTGATGACAGTCAGAAGTGGTTTTAATCTACAACAGTCCTTGTGTTCATGCATCCCATCGTGGATTAATGAGGTACTTCAGAACATCTGGTGCAGGGCAGAGACGAGCTGTAGAGCCGCGAGAGGCCTCCGCGAGCCCAAACCAATCATCTGGTTGGCCTCACGTGCAGATGGGAGGCTCCTTCAGAGGAGTGTTTATCTGTGAACACATGAATCCGTCTCAGACTGCCACACACAGCAGCTCCGTGCCTCAGAGGAGGGGATTAACAGGAGATCCGTGACACACTTTGATCACATCTGTGCATTTTCACTACTTGAAATGACTTTGTAAATTACCTTGGGACATAAACATCTCCTGCACTGTGACTGAATGCGGATGTGTTATTTTGTGTGTGATGTTCTTCACTTAATTGTGCTCTTTTAGGAAAATATTGCCAGAATAATTCAATCTTTTGTTATTTATTTAACCCATTTTCACATGAACTGTGTAACAAAAATGTTTCAGTAAAAGCCTACAGTCAGTAAACCGTATTGTTTCCTGTTAGTAATTAGCTGAGTTTGATTTGTTTTTTTTTGTTTTTTTGCATGAAGTAAAACAATGTATTTAGATCTCCTCAGTGTGGATCACCATCAGTGCTTTTGTTCATCTCGTCTTCAGATGAAGCTCAGGAGCCAAAGTCGGAGGCGAGTGCAGCTTCTGGAACACCAGAGGGCGTGGCAGTCGAGCCCTCCACCTCACAGCCGCCAGCGGAGGAAGAAAAAGCACAAGAGTCAAAGGTCAGGCTGTGGAAAATGGTAAAATGGTAAATGGCCTGTGTCTGTATAGCGCCTTCTAAGGGTCCTACAACCCCCCAGGTGCTTCACAACACAGCCATTCACACATTCACACGCTGGTGGGGATGAGCTACGATGTAGCTACAGCTCCCTGGGGCGCCACCGGTCCCTCCGACCACCATCAGCAGGCAAGGAGGGTTAAGTGTCTTGCCCATGGACACAACAGCAGAATTCTCTGGTCGGAGCCGGGATCGAACCTGCAACCTTCCAATTACTGGACAACCGGCTCTACCTCCTGAGCTACTGCTGTCCCAGAATGTGGCCCAATCCCAATACTCGCACTTCCACCCCTGTGCCTGTCAATTGCACGATCCCGATCAGGGGTGCGAGTGCACAGGGTGTCTCGATTCTCAAATGCGGAAGTTGATCACACCCCTCTTACACTCTTGATCCGCACTTCACCCACAATCCATTGCTGCAGGAGAAAAGGCTCCAGTGCCTTTTTTGAAAACGTATTTTCTAATGAAAGTTGTTCATTTTAGGATGATTCGTTGATGCTCTGAAACTTTTAGACAAAGCAGCAATGAATGTAAATTTATTTCAAGTAATTGTTTGGTTGTTTGTTTGAAAGTTGTTAATAAAGGTTTTTTTAACAAGTATCACAGCGACCAGAATCCCGGCATGCATTGCGGTTGATGATGCAATGCTCCCTGTCCTAATTCTGCATTTATTTGCACACTTGTGTACTACGCACTTGAAGCCTTGCAGCACACTTTCTCCAAGTGCACTTTGCTGAGGACCGCGGGAAGCAGTGCAAGTGGAAAACAAAGGAAAAACTCAGAGTTATTCTGTTATTTAAATCAGTTCTGAAACGAAGCATCAATCATCCTGATTTTTTTTGTTTCTTTCCCTTCTTCGAGACAAGCTGACATCACAGCTTCTTCTTGTGTTAGCAGAAACATTTTCTCTTCCTTTTTGCTTCATTCTCCCATTGAGACCATTTCTGATGAAGCTTCAGCCTCTTATCTTTTTGTTGTTAAAAGTCTGACTGTTGGATTATTTTCATCTGCTCATGACACTCTGACAGGTTGTCTTTTAATGGTTATTTTCCCTCAGATTTAGAATGTAAGTAGTTTAAAGTTCTCAGCTCACTGGGAGTCACCCTCTTGGTGCTACAATACAGCCTCAAACAATATCTTTGTACGTTTTTAGGAATGGCCTAATCAAGATGTTTTTATCCCTGTTACCAGTCTGAGTCGTTTAAATGTATTCATCTTCCTAATGGTTTTTATCTTCATACCACAGACTGCCATAAGTACATTAAGACTGCCAGCAGCTCCCGAGAACAGGTTTTTTCTCACCAGCCCCGTAAAGCAGCGGTGCTGTATTATGGAAAAGCGTAGAAAGTAGGTCAACAATAGAGATCACAGGCTTAGTGGGACTACCCTGATCCAACACAGATCAGTAAGAAAGGCCGTGATCAGGAACACATTTATAAATAACGTAAATATACAACATCCTGTCTGTCTGCAGGCTGTGGCAGCATCAGTGGGTGGGTCTGATGGCTCGCAGGGCAGTGGGGAGGAGGAGGACGATGAGGAGGAAAGCAGTGACTCCTGTGAGAGCGAAGATGAGGAAGATGATGAGGAAGATGATCAGAATAAGGAAAACAAAGAAGAGAAGGAGGAAGAGGAGAATGAGCCTCTGTCTTTAGAGTGGCCCACAACGCCCCGCAAACAGGTCACCTACCTGTTCCTGCTCCCCATCGTACTCCCGCTTTGGCTCACGCTGCCGGACGTCCGCAACCCGGTGAGACCAAACCCCTCATCAACATCACAGACTCGCCGAACAGGAAGTTTTGTTATTTATTAAATCATTTAACTGGTACCAGTTTGACTCCACTGAGATTCAGAACAGGTGTTTTAAACAGGAACAGCTTCAGAAATACCTGAATGGAAACTGATTTTAGATTAAACCGTTACTGAAAAAAGATCCAAAATCATGAAAAACACACAAAATGTATAACAACTGAAGGAAAAGTCATAAAACAAATGATGTAATATTACATACATACAAATATTTAGTGGGTGCGTGTGAAGCAGAAAAACAAGTTTTACGGGTGGTAGGATATGTGTTCAGTGAACAAAGGGCTTACCGTATAAACTTCGTTTTTATTTGAAACAAAACAATTCATGTTTGTTTCCATATCACCACAGATTTAGATGACAAACGTGAACTTCCTCCCCCTAAACTCCTCCTCTTGTATTTTCAGCCATCCAGGAGATTCTTCATCGCCACGTTTATTGGCTCCATCTTTTGGATCGGGATCTTCTCCTACCTGATGGTGTGGTGGGCTCACCAGGTGGGTCTGCTCCTCACACAAGTTTACAATCCTGAAGACAGTTTTCTCTGGACTGAGACCAGAGGTCCTCATCTCACCAGCTCTGAGATAAAACAGAAGCCTTTTGGTTCTGGGTTGCGCTGATTGGTGCAGGTTTTAGTTTCCGACAACGGTGTTCTTGTGTTTGGTCCGACAGGTGGGAGAGACAGTGGGCATCTCAGAGGAAATCATGGGTCTGACCATCCTGGCAGCGGGGACGTCCATCCCAGACCTCATCACCAGTGTGATCGTGGCTCGGAAAGGTCTGGGAGACATGGCCGTGTCCAGCTCAGTGGGCAGTAACATCTTTGACATCACAGTTGGGTGGGTCCTGCTGCATATTGGTGTCTGGTTTCACAGTAACGCCTGATGAACCCACAAACACCTCTGTTCTGTTTCCAGTCTTCCAGTACCGTGGCTCATCTACACTCTCCTCCACAATGGCAAACCGGTGACCGTCAGCTCCAACGGCCTTTTCTGTGCAATCGTGCTGCTCTTCCTGATGCTTCTCTTCGTCATCATCTCCATTGCCGCCTGTCGCTGGAAGATGAGCAAAATGCTGGGCATCACCATGTTCGTACTGTACTTTGTGTTCCTCATCCTCAGCGTGCTGCTGGAGGACCGTGTCCTCATCTGCCCCATTTCCATCTGAGCCGACAGGCTCCGTGGAACCGTTGACGAGTCCTTCTGATGGGACTGGTTCTGTGAGTGGGTTCCTGAAACATTTACCACCATGTTCCTTCGTTAGAACTCGCATCATAAAACATTTTATACCAAAGTTTGTTTACAGTTTCGTTTGATGAGTTAAAACATAAAGAAAAGAAAAATGAAAAGCTTCAATCTACTCAAAATGACACGTTTAACCTTTTATGTTTTTATTTGTATGAACAACCTGGCCGGTGTTAACCTTGTGAGTGCCACTAGAGGGAGCACACACCCCCCCAGAACCAGTGTGATTAAAGGCCAAGTTCACTGATTTCTTTGTGAGTAGGGATGGACAGTATAAAAAAAACAGATCAATAAAGAAAATTCATGTTGACCGATATAAATAATTATTGATAAATATAAAAAATGTAGAAAATATATTTTACATGCAGCCCTGGCTACTCTGTCATTACTCTAGACAAAACTAGTTGGATGTGTTACCAGATCTTGTCTCATTCTCAGCAAATTTTGCAGAAGATCATTGTTTGTTTATTGTCAGACTCATAAAAATCTAAAATATTTCCATGCTGGTGAACAACTGTAACATTTTTGGGACAACTTCCTCCGCCTCTCCTTGCAACAACATCTTGTTTAAGTTAGCTACCGCTTGTTTAGGTTTGAGAGGGGAGCGCTTAGTGACAGAGCAGACTGGGTCTGAGTTTGATGGGTTGGGAGTGAGTAATGACTCTAGTATCAAGCTACTCGATAGGCTATAATTAGATAGTACATGGCCTGTATTTGTATAATGCCTTCTTAGGGTTCTAGGCGCTTCACAATACAATCAGTCATCCATCCATTCACACGCACATTCACATACTCGTGATGATGAGCTCCATTGTAGCCACAGCTGCCCTGGGGCGCGCTGACAGTGACGGACTGCTGGACACAGGCACCACCAGTCCCTCCGACCACCACCAGCAGGAAAGTCAGGTTAAGTGTCTTGCCCAAGGACACAACAGCAGCATTCTCTGGTCAGAACCAGGATCGAACCTGCAACCTTCCAATTACTGGACAACCCGCTCTACCTCCTGAGCTACTGCTGTCCCTGAAACAAAGAAAGGGAACTTTTATAGAAGTTTTTAACCCATTTTTGTTCTGTCGCACCACACGTCTATCAGTAGATATAGATCATTATGGAATTACTTTCCAGACCTACGTGTGAGTCGGTCTCTAAGGGAAAAAAGCTCTGGTGCTTCGTTTTCAGGTACTGGAAGTGAGCTGGAGCACAGATGAGCGGAACACGGCAGGATTTGGACTCTTACCCCAGTTTCACACTGGAAGCATCAAGCGGTGTGGAACGGCAGCGGAACGTTTTACTCGTGAGCTTCGATGCGGTCCATTTCACACCCGAGGAGTCTTGGCCATGGCCAACTTCAAAGGTCACGGTTTGTTTAAGCCATCCACCATTAAACAAAAAGGACCAAAAAGAAAGGAAATCACATTTGATATTGCCAGGATTAAAGCCATGAAAACACACCTCTGCACTTCTGGACTGATGCTGGGAGTAAATAAGTCGTTGGGTCACACGTAAGCTTCATATACTGTATATGAAATCGCATTGCTGCAGTACTTTTATTTTGGGAAAATACCAGGGACTTTACACTGAAACAGTGTGGGATTTCTTGTCTAGCCCTGTGTTAACTGCAGAAAATGATGCGTCCAAGGAGCGGCTCGCTGCAAACATAGAACCTGATCCTATCTTTAGCGGCGCGGTGTGCCACTTCTGGGATGCGCCTGAAAATTGCTGCATCGCTGCTGGGTTGAAACACTCCATAGACTCTGTTTGAAGCAGCGACGTTCCGCTGCCATTCCACGCCATGCTTTCAGTGTGAAAACGGCTTTATTTCCTGATATTCGTACATCTCGCCTCTGATTGGATAACACCAACACAGCTCTATCACTGAATATGTTTCCTTTGCAACATTGATATTTTATCTCCACAAATAACACAAGCCTGAAGGAGTTCTGCTGTGTGAGGGAGTTGCTAATGGTAACAGTTAGCTTTTACTATTCGAGACGTTCTCTGCGGTTTCCTGGGCACTAAACCAATAACAGCCTTCCCCGCCAAGATGGGTGAATCCATGAACGTCAATGTTGACATCATAACGTCTATATGTAGGCTTATCTACTCCGAACGTCCCCTTGTGTATTTCCTTTTTCAGCCTCTAAAGCAGGAAATGGGGGAAGACCATTTTCATGTTCAGCCTGCATGTGAAACTCAGAGTGGCTGATCGTGTTTAAAAATAACAAATAAAAATGGTTTCTCAGTGAACTTGCTCTTTAAAGGACCTTTATTGGATGATGTGCTAAAGGACAACTCCACCCTACAAATAGCTTTTTTAGATTTAATCACAAAGATTTTTGTTGGATTCATTCGCTGTAAATGAAGAGAACTTTTTACAGTGAAGATCCCTTCAGAACCCAGACACAAAAAATACGAGTGGTATGTAAGCATGTATCTAAAGTGTTTCATATAGGACATCGTTTTTGTGTTTAGGACTCAGTTGTAGCTTTTGTGATGAGATGTGACATCACTGTTGTCTACCCTTTATAAATGAAGGTTTAACAGGGCTACAGCTGAGCTCTGACAGACCAACTGGGAGTAGCGTGTTTTTCCTTTAAAACATTCCCTGAAGTGACCGCCTGGTTCATTATCACCTCCATCCCAGCAGCTACAGGATCACTGTGCAGCAAATCCAACCTGTGGATGCAACTGGAGTTACGTTCCGTCTTCATCGCTGTTCCGTACTTTATCTAACTCGTATTTGTTCATGTTTACTGTATGACAGGCATCTCTTTCCTGTGTGGACAGAAATGTGTTGGAGAGAATCGTTGTTTGCGTTTGTATCAGATTGTCGACCGGTGTCACTTTGCTGCTGTGTTGTCGTTGGATCCAAGTGGATGCAAACGTGGATAAGTGAGCATTTTTCCAGTTCTAATTCCAGGCTGCAATAAATTTTTTTCAGCAGTGAGCTTTTTGTGGTGTTATTGAAAATCAGAGGTAAAGATAAAAATCACCCTTTAGATCTTGGAGTTTGACACTTTCAAACGTCTTCAGTTCATCTAAACTACATAATTCATCAAACATCATTAAACCAGCTGAACACATCTGAGACAGAAAATAAATAGAGTGACTTTATTAGTAACACTGATGGTAAAGTAAAAATGGCAGCTAAACTTATTCCTCAAAGCAGTCCGATATTCAGTAAGAAAGCAGCAATTATGATTGAGACTTCAGTTTTGGGCCAAAAAGCTGCAACTCGTCAACAGTGAATGTTAAATGGCTTTATTTACAGTTACAGTCCTTAACAGACTTTTGCACATGTGCGAAAAAGCTATAAAATGTGAGTTTTTACGAAGAGAATTAAAACATCATGGCCCTGGTTCTCCAAAACCACTTCAACAACGGTTCCTGGCAGCTTTTTAAGCTGCTGAAGTCCATCTGCCCTGAAAGTTTCTGTTTTAAGTGACAACCTTTCCAGTTTTAGTTTCTCCAGCTGCAAACCACGGGATTCCTATTCAACAGAGTCAGCACACTTATCTCAGAGCGTAGTCTGCAGCTGGTATCATACACCAGGAGAAAGAGTCTTTGTGGTAACACTGATGACCCCAATCTGCACACAGTCTCTTTCGGTCTTTTAAAGCTCAGGACAGACATGTTCATTTAAACAATACCACATGCACCGTGACTTTAAAACACACACAGGTAAACTTTTCATAAACTAAAAACTTTGTACCTCTGTCTGGTGCGTCTTCAGGTGTTTTTATATCGTGACGATGCAGTCTGTCAGGCAACAGTTCACTTTTTGTGATGAAAAAACAAAGGAGATTTTGGTCTGCTGTCTCTTTTTGAGATCACACACACACACACACACACACACACACACACACACACACACACACACACACACACACACACACACATACACACACATACACACACATACACACGCACACATAAATATTCACTGTTGGATCTTTGGTGACAAAAATTCATTGAAAGTCAAATGAAAATTTAAAAAGTCAGTAAAAATTTCACAAATGATAACAAACATGAAAGTTTTTCCTAAAATATTTGATCTTTTGCATCAAAAGTCTTAAATCTGAGATTTTGAGATTTGCCTTATAGAGTCTTGTCTTCAGTCTGAGGTAGGGCTGGGCGGTAAGACCTAAAATCAATATCACGATATATTGAGGATTTCACCTCGATAACGATAAATGGACGATAACTACAGGTATGTGCAGAAACAAAACGTGTCCCCTAGATGGGGCTGTCACATGTATCACATTGAGTCACATTTTTACCTGACTCAAGGTGGTACAGCTTCTTAAAGGGACATGAATGCTGCCAACCTACACACATCTTTTCATTTTTTATTATCAAACTTATTAACATGGAAAACATTATCTCGATAAGAGTCAGAAATTTCGATAATGATACATTTTTTATTTATTGCCCAGCCCTAGTCTGAAGGATAAGCTAAGAGGATGAAAACAACAAACTAGTTCCCCTATAAAGTGCCTTTAACAAAACAATTTTCAGACACATTTTGTTGTCCTGTTCATGTTTCTGTACGTCGCTGTCACTAAGGATTTTTCAGCAGCTGTTTGGTTTGGATGGAGCACAAAATCCTGGACTGAGTTATTGGATGTTAATATCATTTCAGAATAATTTATGAACCATTGATGTGCTCGAACCTCTAACCTCTCAGGTTGACCAATCAGATGCAAAAACAGAAAGAATGAGATTCAAGTTGTTTCACGAATAAAACGATCAGCTGCATTAAGTCAAGATTTCCAGTTGGAACCACGAAGACTGGAATATAAAAACATACTTGCAGAAAAGTGCCTCAGGTGTCTTCATATGATGCTGAGTTTGATGGTTTGTTCCCAACAAAGAGAGTGATCTTTTTAAAAGTGGTTTTAGTTTGGTAGGAAACCTGGAGTTCAAAGGTCACGCTGATGTAAACAGCAGAAAACAAACGTGAAACTCCCTGTGAGTCTCCAGATAAGTTTGGAATCACCCACATGTCTGTGCTTTGATGGAGACAGGAACCAGTCTGAGTTCACGCTGTGACTCTGGAGACATTAAAAAAAAGAATCTGACCACCTGAAGGCAACAGATTAATGAATTACCGTAATTTGCACAAATGTTGCAATTTATCAGCAGTGTCAACATACAAATACCAGCTGCTTTGTATTGTTTTATAAATTTTGTGTCTCCAACAGTCACCGCTCACAGAGAAACGGGCTTTATCTGGAAATGTTTGTGTATGCAACACAAAACCCACAAATGGAGTTTAACGACTCGTCATTAAAACGCTACGCAGACAAAGAACAATAATACTGATGCTGGATTTGAAGAACGTCATAATTATGACAACATTATGATGTCACCATCAAAGACAGACCAGCCAATTAATGTTTAGTTTTCACTGGCTCTGGGAACAAAACCCATTAGTTTATATAATACAATTTTAAACAACATCCCATTAATTTAGCATCAATCTACAGGTTTTCTTTTATATTTAGAAATATTGATAAGATTCCAGTAATGTCCAATACCAGCTCAGTGGTCTAGCGGTATGCCCTGGGACTGGGAGGTCCGGTCGAGACTCAGATCCAAATCAGGTCATACCAAAGACTTTGAAAATGAGACCCAGTACCTTCCTGCTTGACACTCCGCTTCAAGGAGTTGGATTAGGGGGTTAAACCACCAAAAAGCTCCCGAGTGTAACCGTGTCTGCAGCTCACTGCTCCTCCAGGGGATGGGTCAAATGTGTGATGATGACTAATGGGACTTAAACTTTATTAGCTCAGCTAATTATGAGAGAAGTCTTGATGTTTTTGCTGTAAACAGTCTACTAAAGCCAAATTACTACACAGAACATTTAACTTTACACGTCAGAATTCAAAAGCAGCTAAAAAAGAGCCAGTGACTCCTCACATGGGTCAATATTTGGTATAAATCCATAATCTGCAGAGCTTCTGAAAACCTCCCTGGCCTGTTCTCTCTGAGCGCTGAGCTTCTGATACCAACAGATGGCAGAACAACAAACAGCAATAAATAAAGCTGACTTTGTATAAATAAAAGTTTGGATTAAAATATTGCTAAAATCAGTCTTCATGTGATGAAGTCTTCATTTAAAAACCCTTCTGCTGTGTTTTATTTTCAGGAAATGTGTCTGATTTTCACAGCCCCTCAGCAGAGACCAGGTGGACGCTGCAGGTCTCTGTCGTCACACAGCTATGAAGAAGCGTGTAGCTACATTAAAGCCACTGCCGGCTCCTCTGAGCACATTCACAGTCCCTCAGCGGGTTTCCTGAGCTGGACCAAAAGCGGGGATGAGAGACGATGGAGGTCTGTGTTTACAGGTAAGGCTCTCCAAACGTCCGGCGACACTCCATGACGCCCGTGCTCGGAGGACGATCACAGTTATGGGTCAGCTTCACCAGGGGCGGCGTCAGGCGGTCGTATGCCAGCTTGTACTCACGATCAAAGGCGTCTGAGGAGAGACGAGGAAACGTCAGGGGGGCGGAGCTTGTCTTACCATACCATACCATAGTTTATTTATACAGCACGTTTCAAACGCAGCATGGGAGCTGCCCAAAGTGCTGCACAGGCTAAAACAAAACACGACCATTCTAAGAAACTAAAACAGAAGATAAAAATACCAGTCAAAAGCAGATAAAACATGATGAATACTAAGAACACATTAAAACAATGGCACAATAAAACACTAAAACGAGTCACTGTCTAAAAGCCAAATCGTAAAAGTGGGTCTTTAAATGAGATTTAAAAACCGCCAGTGATGGAGCCTGCCGAACTTAGTCTGCATTCTAGCAGAGAGACTAAACTTTGTAAAGCAGAAGAGAGCAGGAGGACAGCGTGGAGGCCAAACAGGTCTTTGGTCTGAAATCTGACTTACCAATGTCGATGTTATCTTTTCCCAGAGCCACCAGGGAGAGGAAGAGGATGTCCCGGTACAAACTCCTGTGGAAAAGAGTCACGTGGAAACAAAACCAGTGCTTTAATCATACGTAGTGCTGCCATCACCACTCTGGTGTTTAATTGAAGGCGGAGGCTGTTCCATGACTACTTCAACAACAGAATTATTTATGGATTTGCTTTAAAACACAAAGAAGCTACACTTCCTACTGACCTTTGCCTCTTGACCCCGAGTGCTCTGTCGAGGAGCTGCAGCAGCTGAGCCATTGGCCGGCTGACGTCGTTCCTCTGGATGTTCTTCACCACGCTCTGCAGCAGATCCTCGCTGAATGGCTTCTCCTCCTCTGGGATAAGCCGGGACACGGGGTAACCCACGTCTACGGGGACACACGAACAGACATCAACAGTGGCTTTATGCTGGTTGTGATACACACAAAGGACAAACGCACAATGAGGGTGGATTACATCCCAGTTCAGTGACTACAGCACAGAAACCAGCTGCTCCACAGCAACATTCATCTTTTTATTGCAACTTTTAAAAGCTGGACAACAAGCCGATGAGGACACTGACAGGAAAACAGCTGTACAGGTACAAAACAACTCCTGCATTTATTATAACTCATGTTCATTCCAACACTGAAACAGAAGCAGATTTCCCACAAACATCACTGCACACCACCAGGCAAACAAAAGAACAGAAAGCAGGTCTGATGTGTGACACAACACAAACAAGAGCAGGACCTCTGAGTCTGAGATGAACACTCACTTTCTAACAACAGAGCACAATTAAGTCCTGGAAGACAGAGCAGACAGAGCCTGTTAGCATGTGGAGCAGCCCACAGCTCAGCTACAGCAGGATGATCAAAACCAGACGAGTTATTGTTAGTCTGATCAGTCCTCCAGATGCTCTGCTGACGTTCCACAATACAGTCAAGAATAATAATGAGACACCGCTAATCAGCCTGCTCCGGCTGCATCAACTACCACCTTTTGATGCTTTAAGAACAGTTAAAGCAGTATTTCTCAATTAGTGAGGCGTGCCCCAGAATTCATTATTTTTTTTAGCATAATTCGTTCTAAATGGAATGCTACACCACACCCAGTCACTAGGTGGCAGCAGCGATCTAACTTATCAATAAGCTGCCCTTTTAACCCAGCAGAAGAAGACCGACCACCCGACCACCCACCCACACGCCCACGCACGCACGCACGCACGCACGCACACACACACACACACACACACACACACACACACACACACACACACAACGGGTGCCCCAGTGAGCTGATGGAGGAATAGAGATGTAGAAGTTTCTGACAGTGAAAAGAAAATCGGCGGAGACGTAAGAGGCAAGTAGTGAAAGTAGCCGGCAAAAAAAGACCAGAAAATATGACAAAGCCGGCGTAGCGCTGGGATTTACCGTGAACACGGTCGGAAATGAAGAAAGACCCATTTGTGTTTTCTGCCTAAAAACTTTGGCAGCTGACAGGATGAAAGCCAACAAGTTAAAGCGGCACCTGGAGACCTTACACCCCAGTTATATTAGCAAGCCCTTGGACTTTTCCACCAGCTAAACTAAATGTTTTCATACAAAACAGAAAAACATGCAATGAACTACGTTTTTGCAGGATAAGTCTTTTATGTGGTCAAACTGATGTAACCGACAGAAAAGTTTCAGAGTTCAAGGCTTTTTGAACTCAAAATCTTAAGAAAAAGTCTGTATGAATGTTATGCACTTTTCAGCTCTAGTTATAAGTTAAAATATCATTACTATTGTTTAATGTTGGCAGAGAAAATGTTAAATGTAAACAAATTATATGAGGTATTGAAAAAGATGATGTTTTAGTGGACAGCTATTAGGGATGTGAATCTTACAGCAACTCACGATTTGATTTGATTCCGATTATTGGGGTGCCGATTCGATTCAGAATCGATTCTTGATCCTCAATTTAAATCAATTCACAATCAGTATTAACGAAGGGTGTCTGCTCCAGGATTAACTACTTTGTTGTACAAGTCAGTTAAAGCTATGGGACATTTTTATTTGCTCCAAAAATGTAAAATAAAGTGATTCTAAAACTGTAAACAGAAGCAATCTTTTGACCAAAAGGCAACATTTATTTTTGCTTACCTTGTAAAACATAACAAATCTGTAGTTACCCAACAGTAGCTTTGAAAGTAATACGGCCAAATATTTTTCAAGTATGTGTAGAAACGAGTTACATGAGTAATCCTGAGTACTCATTTATCAACTTAGAAAATAAATATGAGAATATCTCTAATTTCTGAGTATGGAAAAATTTACATTCAAGTGCCCTCTTATCAGCAGATTCAAACATAAATCATCTCAATTTATGGGACCACAAAAGTAAACGGAGTACTGACTCTCCTAACAAAGATCAAAAAAGTGCATCTCAAACCTGTAACATGCCAAATATTTGAGTTCTTGGAATCGATTCTGAACCTTTGTGAATCGATTCTGAATCTTTATAAATAAGAATCCCGATTCAGACTTGAATGGATTTTTTTCAGCACCTCTAACTGCTATGTTTAGTTAACGAAAATGTTTTGAATGACTTAATAAATTGAACTCTGAAATAGCTTGAAGTTGCTGTTGCTCACTCCTCAATTTGATTAGATAATCAGACATGTGGTGCCAGAAACCACTTGCATTGGTTTGTAAAGATTAAAAATAAAAATTTCTCTGGTTCTGTATCAGATTAAATTTAAGAGGGGGTGCAATTTTTTTCTTTCCATTAACAACAACAGAAAATAATTGAGAACCACTGAATTAAAGGATTCTGAATTCTCTCTCTTCTTCTGGGAGGTTTTAACCAACACAACTCACTGTGTGTGTTCCAGAGGATGTACAGGGGCTGAACGGGGTCCTGGTGCAGCTTCAGGTTGTCCCACAGGATCTGGATCAGCACGTGTTTGCTGTCCTCAGACATCCAGTGGCGTGGGACCTGATGAAAGACGAGACACAGACAATGAAGTACACAAACACACATGAATCAATTAGGATCTAAACTGTGTGACTGACAGACAAAATCAAGTTTCAACTTGGGTTAAAGCCTGGATGGGAACGAGATGTCTCAGCAGCTGGACTGAAGACAAACGTTTGTTTTAATCTGAAGCAACACAAAAAAGTCTTTAACACTTTAAGATATTTCAGGGGCTCTTGATCCGTAAACATTTTAAAAAGGTTTTTGGTTCAGCTAGGTGCACTAATCTGAGGTCTCTAGTAGAGGCCGACCGACATGGTTTTCTTAAGGCCAATGCAGACACAGATTTTTTACAAATTTTGTTACCGATGGCTGATATCTAAAGGCGATTATTACAGCCGATATATTTACATTTTAGCAGCACATTGATTGCAAAACAAAAAACAAAAAAAAAAAACAACTGAACGCTCACTGTGTGCAATATAAATTACCGTATTTTCCAGTCTATAAGTCACACTTTTTTTCATAGTCTGGCCGGTCCTGCGACTTATACTCTAGAGCGACTTATATACCAAATTACGTAGGCTATACCGCCCTGCTGTGGGCCGGCTCTGGACCAGGAATGAGCTCCCCTGCCCCGCTGGGAATAAAAAACACACAGCCATCACTTGCTGGAGCCTGTGGTGCACCGGTGCACCGTTGCACACTGGATCTGGCCCAGGTTTCAGCTCCTCTGCCCCACCATCACCTGCTGCAGCCTGTGGTGCGCTGCTGCGGGCCGGCTCCGAGCCAAGAACGAACTCCCCTGTCCCGCTGGGAGGGTTTCAAACACGCCATCCTCTGCTGGAGACCGTGGCGTGCTGCTGTGCCCGTGTTGTTTATTCTGTTATTGTTACCGGTACTTGTCTTGCAATGTGAAATGCTTGGTCTCAGATTTGTAAGAAAAATAATAAAATTTCCCCCCAAAATGCGACTTATAGTCCAGTGTGACTTACATATGTTTTTTCTCTTCTTCATTATACATTTTATGGCTGGTGCGACTTATACTCCAGAAAATATGGTAAATAAGTCAATAAATCTCTTAATATTTATTGAACTTCAAATATAAAACAAAGTCAAAAAATTTAAAAAACTGTGTGTTGGAGTCCTTCTGGTCCTTTCTTTAGTCTAGTAGTGGTGGCAGTTGGCCATATGGTGCCTGATTTATTTTTTAATCAGCTTTTAAAAATAATTTCGGCCGATGGCTGATATAGAAAAAATCGAATATATCGGCCTGATACATCAGTCAGCCTTTAGTCTCTACCTGCTTTACAGCTTTTGTGTGCTGGTAGTTCATATAAAAGTTAGCAGTTAGCTTTTTCAGTTTGCTAACCGTCAATAAAAAGCACAATAATAATAAAAATTATCATGTGGATTTTTTTTAGTTGGCATCATGGTGCTCCTCCTTGAACCGTCACCTTATCGTGGTGGAGGAGTTTGAGTGCCCTAATGATCCTAGGAGCTAGGTTGTCTGGGGCACTTAGTGCCCCTGGTAGGGTCTCCCATGACAAATTGGTCTTAGGTGAAGGGTGAGACAAAGAACGGTTCGAAGGATCTTTCATGGCGGTTAAAACGAAGAGTCGGAGTACCCGGCCCGGAGGGTTACCGGGGTCCCACCCTGGAGCCAGGCCTGGGGTTGGGGCCCGTGAGCGAGCGCCTGGTGGCCGGGCTTTCGCCCATGGGGCCCGGCCGGGCCCAGCCCGAACCGGATACATGGGCTCGTCCAACTGTGGACCCACCACCCACAGGAGGAACATGAAGGGTCCGGTGCAGTGTGGATCGGGTGGCAGACCGAGGCGGGAGCCTTGGCGGTCCAATCCCCAGACAAGAAAACTAGTTTTTGGGACATGGAACGTCACCTCGCTGGCGGGGAAGGAGCCGGAGCTTGTGGCAGAGGTTGAGCGGTACCGGCTAGATATAGTCGGACTCACCTCGACACATTGCATTGGCTCTGGAACCCGAGACCTGGAGAGGGGTTGGACACTCTACTTTGCTGGAGTTGCTCCGGGTGAGAGGCGGAGGGCTGGGGTTGGCTTTTTGTTAGCCCCGAGACTCTCTGCCTGTGTGTTGGGGTTTACCCCGGGGGACAAGAGGGTAGCTTCCTTGCGCCTTCGGGTCGGGGAACGGGTCCTGACTGTTGTTTGTGCTTATGGGCCAAATATCAGTTCAGAGTACCCACCCTTTTTGGAGTCCCTGGGACGAGTGCTAGATAGTGCTCCATCAGGGGACTCCATTGTCCTGCTGGGGGACTTCAATGCTCACGTGGGCAATGACAGCTTGACCTGGAGGGGTGTGATTGGGAGGAACGGCCCACCTAATCTGAAATCGAGCGGTGTTTTGTTATTGGACTTCTGTGCAAGCCGCAGTTTGGCCATAACGAACACCATGTTCGAACATAAGGATGCCCACCGGTACACTTGGTACCAGGGCAGCCTAGGTCACAGGTCGATGATAGATTTTGTAGTCGTATCATCTGACCTGCGGCCGTATGTTTTGGACACCCGAGTGAAGAGAGGGGCGGAGCTGTCAACTGATCACCACCTGGTGGTGAGTTGGATCAGATGGCAGGGGAACATGCCGCGTAGACCTGGCAGACCCAAACGCATAGTGAGGGTCTGCTGGGAACGCCTGGCAGAAGAACCTGTCAAGACGGTCTTCAACTCCCACCTCCGGCAGAGCTTTGACCACGTCCCGAGAGCAGCGGGGGACATTGAGTCCGAGTGGGCCTTGTTCCACTCTGCGATTGTCGAGGCGGCTGTTGCTAGCTGTGGTCGTAAGGTGGCCGGTGCCAGTCGTGGTGGCAACCCCCGTACCCGCTGGTGGACACCAGAGGTTCGGGGAGCCGTCAGGCTGAAGAAGGAGGCCTACAGGGCGTGGCTGGTCTGTGGGTCTCCGGAGGCAGCCGACAGGTACCGGATAGCCAAGCGGGGTGCAGCAGTGGCAGTTGCCGAGGCAAAATCTCGGGCGTGGGAGGAGTTTGGTGAGGCCATGGAGAAAGACTATCGATCGGCTCCAAAGAGGTTCTGGCAAACTGTCCGGCGCCTCAGGAGAGGAAGGCAGCAACTGGCTCACACTGTTTACAGTGGGGATGGGGAGCTGCTGACGTCAACTGAGGCTATAGTCGGACGGTGGAAGGAATACTTTGAGGAGCTCCTCAATCCCACCAATGCGCATTCCGAGGAGGAACCAGAGCTGGGAGGCCTGGGGATGGACTGTCCGATCTCGGGGGCAGAAGTTGCTGAGGTAGTCAAACAACTACACAGCGGCAGAGCCCCGGGGGCGGATGAGGTTCGTCCTGGGTATCTTAAGGCTATGGATGTTGTGGGGCTGTCATGGTTGACACGTCTCTACAACATTGCGTGGTCATCGGGGGCAGTTCCTAGGGAGTGGCAGACCGGGGTGGTGGTCCCCATCTTTAAGAAGGGTGACCTGAGGGTGTGTTCCAACTATAGGGGGATCACACTCCTCAGCCTCCCTGGAAAGGTCTACTCCAAGGTACTGGAGAGGAGGGTCCGATCGATAGTTGAATCTCAGATAGAGGAGGAGCAATGTGGTTTTCGTCCTGGCCGTGGAACTGTGGACCAGCTCTATACCCTTGCAAGGGTGATGGAGGGGGCATGGGAGTTTGCCCAACCAATCCACATGTGCTTTGTGGATTTGGAGAAGGCTTATGACCGTGTCCCCAGGGGCACCCTGTGGGGGACGCTCCAGGAGTATGGGGTGGGTGGCTTTCTGTTAAGGGCCATTCAGTCCCTTTACCAGAGGAGCGTGAGTTTGGTCCGCATAGCCGGTAGTAAGTCGGACCTGTTCCCAGTGAGGGTTGGACTCCGCCAGGGCTGCCCTTTGTCACCGGTTCTGTTCATCACTTTTATGGACAGAATTTCTAGACGCAGCCGTGGTGTGGAGTGTGTCGAGTTTGGTGGCAGGAGAATCTCGTCTCTGCTTTTTGCGGATGATGTGGTCCTCCTAGCTTCATCCAGCTCTGACCTTCAGCTCTTGCTGGGTAGGTTCGCGGCCGAATGTGAAGCGGCTGGGATGAGGATCAGCACCTCCAAATCTGAGACCATGGTTCTCGACCGGAAAAGGGTGGCTTGCCACCTCCGGGTCGGGGGAGAGGTCCTACCTCAAGTGGAGGAGTTTAAGTATCTCGGGGTCTTGTTCACGAGTGAGGGTAGGAGGGATCGAGAGATCGACAGGCGGATTGGTTCGGCGTCTGCAGTGATGCGGACGCTGAGCCGATCTGTCGTGGGGAAGAGGGAGCTGAGCCAGAAAGCCAGGCTCTCGATTTACCGGTCGATCTACGTCCCAATCCTCACCTATGGTCATGAGCTTTGGGTAATGACCGAAAGAACGAGATCGCGGTTACAAGCGGCCGAAATGAGTTTCCTCCGTAGGGTGGCCGGGCTCAGCCTTAGAGTTAGGGTGAGGAGCTCGGACATTCGGGAGGGACTCGGAGTAGAACCGCTGCTCCTCCGGATCGAAAGGAGCCAGTTGAGGTGGTTTGGGCATCTGGTCAGGATGCCTCCTGGACGCCTCCCCGGGGAGGTGTTTCGGGCATGTCCTGCCGGCAGAAGGCCCCCGGGTCGACCCAGGACACGTTGGAGAGGTTACATCTCCAATCTGGTCCGGGAACGCCTTGGGGTCCTGCCGGAGGAGCTGGTGGACAAGGCCGGGGAGAGGACGGCCTGGAGCTCCCTAGTTGGGATGCTGCCCCCGCGACCCGGACCCGGATAAGCGGAGGAAGATGAAGACGAAGGCATCATGGTGGAGCCTGGAAGTAAAACTAAGAGAGCAATGTCTTTAGCGGCAAAGCAAAAATCTAAAACCAGAGTGAACATCGGGGCAGCCTACACTAGTCTGAGGGAGCTGAATGGGGCTATGACATCATTGACTGATGGTGACCTGGCTTTGTTGTTAGAAGGACTTGTAAGTAATAATAGGTTTTTGTAACTTTTTACTTTGTGGTTTATTTTAGTATCAGTTGGGTCGTTTTAGCATTAGCTTGTTGTTAGTGCTAGCTACAGCAGGCTGCAGCATGGTTAATTATGATAGTTGTTCCACTTTCAACCAGTAGGAGGAGAAGCAGGAAACTTAATAAAACAACAGATCTGTGCTGTGGGTCAGCAGGTACCCTACACCTCGGGCTGTTTGTTGATCACCAGTGGGCTGGTGATGTGGTTTTCACCACTTTTAACTAGTGATGGCCAAAGAAGCCTCATGAAGCAATGAGGTTTTCCAGCCAAATGCATCACTAGAAGGTCCCCTACTCGAAGTTTCATTTAGTGTTTAATTTACTCAGACTGATATAGCGACATCTGCTGGTAGAGTTGAAAAATGACAAACTTTTAAATGTCTGTTCCTAAAGTTGCGCCTGATGGTCAATAGATCTCATTTACATAACTCTACTTCATCCTTTTCAATAAAAATAACTATCATGAATAGACCAAAACTTTCTTCTGCCCCAGAGCACATCAAATAACACTATTAATACAATAACAAGTCAAGATGGTAACCGTATTTTAAAACTTAACACTACAGTTGCCAACACTAATAATAAAGCTATTTTTCGTACAGACTAAACCACTTGAAACTCTAAAAGACACATGGACCAAACTAAAACCACCCAAAATCCACTGAGTTTTGGCAGCTTTTATTTTGAAAAGTGACACAGAAAACAAACCAGTCATGTGAACCAGGTAAAACGAGACCTCGTTTGCCATCAGTCATGTGGTTTTCCAGGAATTTAAGCAAGTGGATTCGCCCACTTCCTGCTTGATACGAGCATCGCTTCATTTGTCTCATCACTACTTTTAACCATGCTAATGTAAGCTAGCGTGTTTCCTTGAATACATCAGTAACAGAGTGTGACCTGAAACCTAATGCTGCATCACTTAAAACTTCCTGTGATCTCTGGTTTTCCATCACGACCAGAAAACAACAAGAGCTTATTTCTTTGTCAGTTGCACACAGACTCATTATGATGCGAGCTTATTTCACTTTAAATTAGAGTAATCCTAAATTGAATTTTGCAAAACGTATGTTTTGGATTTTTTATTTTTCATTTTTGTTGGTTGATTGTGCAGTATTCTGGGACTGATCTGTTAAATCCTAGTAAAATATGAGTGTGTGTGTGTGTGTGTGTGTGTGTGTGTGTGTGTGTGTGTGTGTGTGTGTGTGTGTGTGTGTGTGTGTGTGTGTGTGTGTGTGCGTGTGTGTGTGTGTGTGTGTGTGTGTATGTGTGTGTGTGTCTGACCTGAGAGTCTCTGTTGCAGTGCTCTGATGAGAGGATGAGACCCGGCAGGTTGCTGGGCAGGTCCAATCGTCTGAAGTACCAGACCAGGTTCCAGTAGATGATGGGATGATGGTCCACCATGTTTGCCTCACTGATCACCGGGTCGCCCTCGTTCTCCAGCAGACTCTCCAGCTCCTTCCACAGCACCAGCGGGCTCAGGTAAGGAACTGTCACTGGCTCAGGGTTGTGGAGCCGCCATTCCATGCTCAGAGGGTCCTTGGAGAGACAAAATGATTAGTCAGGTTTGTGCCAGGAGCTCAGTCAAATGTTTTTTCATCAATATGGAGAAGACGGATACTAAATGTGATTCAGATCTGAATGAGGGGCAGGAGATCCATATATCGTATGCAGAAATAATCTTCAAGATACAAAATACTCAGCAATCAGAAGTAAAGTTTCATCCAAAAAGCTGAATTTTACACAAGTTTGCAAAAGCACAATTTTATCCATTTTTATAAAATCAATGAAAATACTAGAAACTCATTAAATTATCTTCCAAAATATCGAGTCTCTGCAGGAAATCACACTCACAGCCTTTATATTACTTCTAAACTTCACTCAGTTCTCTGGCTTCTCGTTTCTACACCCTTTGGCCCAAACTGAAGCCAGGCTTTGGTGGAACCGATTGTGTTCTCTGCCTGTGACAAACCGTGGTTTCATTCAGACGACTCGGCAGGCTGCCAGACATCGGCAGGCAGCAGTTGAACTGACACGTATCCTCCAGAGGACCGAAGGCACTGACGCTACGGGTCATGGCTCCTCCAGATGACAGCGCTCCTCTCCGGTCTGTGGGGATGTCGATACCTTGAGGTCTAATTTGCCGAGTTCTGAAAAAACACAGGCAAGGGCTTCAGAAAAGGGGTGTTTAAATATTTTGTTTTGTTTTTATTCTATAAGTCAATGTAGTGGATTTGATTCCACGTTCCACCTGACCTGAATGGTTTCTCCCTTTTTTCTGTATGAACCTGAACACCAATAAACAATTCTGTAGTTTAGCAGATAAAACAAAGTAATCCAGACGATGCTCTGGTCATTTGCTGCAATTACTCATCTAACCTCATCTTTTTAACACACATGGCTTGGTGAGGAGGGCCAGGTGCAACAGCTCCCCACTGAGAGCTGGTTCACAATGCAGATCAGGACCATATGGGTGCAGCTACAGCAGCCTCGACTTCAAAAACTGGATGCTGTATTGCCTTGAAGAGTGACAAAGGTTGTTTGAGGCTTTGTGCGGTTTACGGTAGAATTGTGTTTAATCAGACATGCAGCTTTTTCATCAAAATAACCATTTTGTAGACACACGCCTGCCAACACATGATTACGGTCTTTCTCAGTTGCTAAAACACTAAAATCCATTGACTGAAGAAAGTTCTCAGTTGCTTGAACTCATTAAACTAACTAGTGAGTCTGTTGTCAAAACCTTAAACCATTTCCCACGGTTTAGCAAAACTCTAAACGCATTCTCATTCTTAAAACACATTCTGCACTCTAATGTACATGTCGTCCATAATGGTAAACACAAGCGGCACACATTTACCCATAACAAGAGCACAAATGTCATTGATTGAACACAATCAGTCAAAATACATTTCACTTGTTTCAAATGATGTGACAACCAGTATGAGCAAGTTCAGAGAGCAGCAGGGTGAAGAGCTGGGTCCCATCCCAACCTACAGTATGTAATAGTGTGGGACAACGTCACCTTCCACCGAGCTGCCCAAGTGAGGGAATGGTTTACCCTCAATGGGCAGTTTATGAACCTGTACCTCCCTCAATACTTGACTTTCCTGAATCCGATTGAGGAGGGTTTTTTTTTCGTCTTGGAGATGGAAAGTGTATGACAGACAGCCCTACATCCGAGTAAATTTGCAGCAAGCCATGGATTTAGCCTGTGTTGATATAGGTGAGGAATCATGTCAAGGCTGGATGCGGCACACCAGAGGCTTTTACCCCGTTGCCTCAGGAGGGAAAATATTGCATTTGATGTTGATGAAGTACTGTGGCCTGGCCCAGCCCACAGACAAGAACAGGCCCATTGATAACATGTTCAGTCCTTTGATCTTTTTCATTGTATGTTTTCTTTTTTTTTCCACTGTCATTGTACACTGTAGCACAATGGACTGCAGGCTGTATATGGTACAATAAACAAATTGTATGGCCCTGAACATTGTGCTTTCTATTTTGGTGTATTGTTTACTGACTGCTTGATGGTGTATGTCATTTAGAGCAGTTTGTTTATTATTTGAGACTAGTGTTTGATTTTGAGCACAGCTAAAACTGTTTTGAGGCAAAAGTTTGATTTTGGAAGAGGAATGAGAGGTTTGTAAATCGTGCTTGAAGCTGAGGTTTTGTGTTTAATGTTTTGAGAAAATGGAGCAAGGTTTCAGGAATTCTGCTTTAGCAACAGAGAAAAACTTTCAAAGACTTGTGAATGAATTGGAAACTTGGATGACCCTTTGTGTGCAATTGACCTGTGTCTACATCCCCTCTAAGCCCCGCCCTCCTTTGTTACTGTTGCTAACTCGTAAAAGCCGTTACAGCTAACTGCCTTTTAACAAGAAGAGTAATGTGTCACATGTGTTATAAATAAAATGTGTTACTACTGTTGGGCTGTGTGTGATTGATTTTAGCTTGTATGAGCTGATTGCTAAGGTTATACAAGACCAGAGTTCGTGCCCACGTTATTGGTTTAATACAAGAACAGGCGTCGGACAGAAATGACCAGCCGTCCCCAGCAGTAGCACAGACCAAGAGGGAAACACGCATAGAGCCAACCAATTCCTTCTGGTGTCGTAGCAAAAACCTAATTAAGAAGGAAAAGAAAGCCAGTCATCTGCTCCTTTGCTCCTAACGTAATTTTCAGAATAACGTTGTGAATTCTTGCTTTGTCACTATGAGTCAAGTTAACCTCTGGATTCTGTTTATTACCCAAGGGTAGATACTAAGAACAGTGCAGAGAAAGAAATATCCAACTGGATGTGATTTACGTTAACAGGTAAAACACTGTACTCCAATGACAGGAGTAGACCCTTTTATTTTACAGAAGTGAAAACATTTCTCTCATATTATGAAACCTAAGCAAAGACGGTTGTAAATAGTTTTATTTACATGTGTGACACACAGCCTGGACTAACCTACAGTATGTGTGACTGGTAACAACATACCAGATTTGACTGTTTGTTAACCTCTCATAGTGAATTCTGCCAGATACAATTTTAAATTTCTTTATTTTTGCGATTGCCCTCTGCAGGGCTTGGTGAGCAGCTATCGTTTTAGTTGTAACAGCATCAACTGCCATTTGCCATGTCCCATATGCAAGTACTCATGTTCTAGCAGAGTCATCACTAATCCAATAATAACCGGAGGGGGTTTAGGGAAGTGCGCCAGGACAAAGCTGCAGGCCCGGATGAATTCCAGGTTAAGTTAAATGAACAACTTCTTTGTCAGACAAGGAGCAGATGAAGTGATGATGACACCATTTGGGTCACAAGCAACCAGGGATTTAAAAGTACTGCTGACTTGTAGTGTGAGAGTGTTGACTTTGAACTGATGAGCTTGGATTTTCAATCCTAGGTTCTGTGATACTATCTAGGAATGCCGGGAAGTCAGATTTGTGTTTATTTGGCATGTGAGACATTATGACCCGTCTATGTGGCTACAGAGGGACTTCCCAAATACACCAAACACGTAATCAGCCTATGAGGTGAACAACGTGGCTACGGTGCGGTCAGGTATCTGAAATATTATGCTCAGATCCTTATGGTCAATGGTTTGCTACAACTTCATCAGAACTAGCAGCAGCCGTAAATTCATTGTTGTCTGCCCAGCCCACTTACATATCGGTGGGACACTGATGGTGATGTTTCAGTGGCTGGTATCATAAACACAGTGGTTGTTAGATTGCTGATAACTAAATCCAGTGAAGTACTGGAAATTGTCACAACGTGCTGGTGAGTGAGACGGAGGTGAGGATCCAAGTGCAGGGGAAGAAGCAGGCAGGGAGGCAGACAGGAACATTTAAAACACTGATATAATGAAGGACACGCAGGACAATGAAACAATGAGCCAACCAGACAAAATGGTTTAAATACAGGAGGAGCTGGGACGGGCTCTTGGGGGCCTGCGTCTGGTGAGGACAGAACCGGCGACGACCGGAGGCAGAGACGCTGGAGGAGACATCCTTGACTTTTGGACTGGAGGCGGAGGCGACGACCTCTGGGCTGGAGGCGGCGGCGTCGACCGCTGGACTGGAGACGGTGTCGACCGCTGGACTGGAGATGGCATCGACCGCTGGACTGGAGATGGCGTCGACCATGGGACTGGGGACGGTGTCGACCACGGGACTGGGGATGGCGTAGTTGGACTGGAGGGGACGTCAAACTCTGGAGTGGATGAGGCGTCAACCTCTGGAGTGGATGAGGCGTCGAACTCTGGAGTGGAGGAGGCGTCGACCTCTGGAGTGGAGGAGGCGTCGACCTCTGGAGTGGAGGAGGCGTCGACTTCAGGACACGAGGAGGCGTCGACTTCAGGACACGAGGAGACGTCGACTTCAGGATATGGGGAGGCGTCGACTTCAGAACACGGGGAGGCGTTGACTTCAGAACACGAGGAGGCGTGGACTTCAGAACACGAGGAGGCGTGGACTTCAGAACACGAGGAGGCGTCGACTTCAGAACACGAGAAGGCGTCGACTTCAGAACACGAGGAGGCGTGGACTTCAGAGCACGAGGAGGCGTCGACTTCAGAGCACGAGGAGGCGTGGACTTCAGAGCACGAGGAGGCGTCGACTTCAGAGCACGAGGAGGCGTCGACTTCAGAGCACGAGGAGGCGTCGACATCAGGGCATGAGGAGGCGTCAACATCAGGGCACGAGGAGGCGTCGACTTCAGAACACGAGGAGGCGTCGACTTCAGAGCACGAGGAGGCGTCGACATCAGGGCATGAGGAGGCGTCAACATCAGGACACGAGGAGGCGTCGACTTCAGAACACGAGGAGGCGTCGACCGCAGGACTGGAAGAGGCGTCGACCACAGGACTGGAAGAGGCATTGACCTCCGTCGACTTCTGGTCCGGGGGCGTCGACTTCTGGTCCGGGGGCTGGCCTATCTCACGTTCCATCCTTTCCTCACTCGTGAACAAGACCCTGAGATACTTAAACTTCTCGTCCCTGACCCGGAGAAGGCATTCTACCTTTTTCTGACTCAAGACTATGGTCTCGGATTTAGAGGAGCTGATTCTCATCCCAGCAGCTTCACACTTGGCTGCAAACCGCTCTAATGACAGCTGGAGATCACGTTCTGATGAAGCCAACAGGAACACATCATCTGCAAAAAGCAGAGACTTGATCGTCAGGTCACCAAAACAGATCCCCTCAGCACCTTGGCTGCTACAGAATCGGTGATAAACGGAAGCCTTGGTGGAGTCCAACCCTCACTGGAAACAAGCCCAACTTACTGCCGGCAATGCGGACCAAGCTCTGGCACCGGTCATACGGGGACCGAACCGTCCATATCAGAGGGCCTGGTACCCCATACTCCCGGAGTACCCCCCAAAGGATCCCCAGAGGGAAGCGGTTGAACACCTTCTCCAAATCTTTCTTAATGTAAATTAAAAAATCACAGGTCCCTACAATAAGGTGATTTTAGAAGTAATTGTAAAAAGATCTCAGAAGTGATGAAACATCAGGTGATGGGGCGTACCTCCCTGAGCACTCCTCCACTGCAGGGGATGGAGGGAATACGGCTGTGGTGGGACATGGCGTTGACAAAGTAGACATCCTTGTGTCCAAACCAGTAGAGGCAGAGTACGATGATGTCATGGTGTCCTCCACAGACGGGCTGCCCTTCAGGAAAAGCCTTTGCAGAGGAAAAAAAAGCAAAGTTGTTTATTTCAATTTACAGTCAGTGTAATTATCCTGAGATGTTCCAGATCATGTCTTGTTACTCTGAAATAGTTAGATCAACTTTAATTAAAAGCAACTGCCTGAATTAATCAATTCATTAATCTAAATAAAATTATGTTTTATTTATGCCTATCGTGTACAAAACACAGTTTAGGCATGATTAAAGTAGAAGACACTTATTTTCTAACCCTGAACAGGGAGGAATTATTACAGATGGATGAATTATTGCATGAATGAAGGTAATGTCTCTCTTATTATTCCTTCATTCAGTAAAATGAATGGTTTCACTTCATTCTGCTGAGGGAAATATCTACAGGTGTCCTCTGTGCAGGTGTAAAGCCTAGGTTTTGCTTCTGCGTCGGTGCGGAGTAGGGCAACACCATTATCCGTCCTTGCAAAGTCTCAAGAAAGGGCGGAGTGGAGCTCACTTTTCGAGACATCTGTCGAACAATATGGAAAACGCAAGGTCGTGATTGGTCAGGACGCTGCTTTCATCAACAGCACCGCCATAGCGCCCTCAAAAAACATAAAGAGAGCCAAAGACATCTAGCAGCAGACATGGAGCAGCTTGAAGAATACGCCACAGAAAAACTCTACAAATACGAACGTTTTATGCACCTGTGCCTGGAGGAGTCAAAAGATACGCAGCAAAGGCTTTATTCTTGGATGGAAAGGATGGTAAATGTGGGTTTAGAGGTGGCAAGCACAAGAGGTGGAGGAGAATGAGGGACAAATTTGCTTGTGTTAAGTCTCTGAAATACAAAAAACAAATCTAAATGCACGATCTTGGACCGGATGCATGACAGGATACCCCAGAACAGTGCTACGCACTCTGTTGTCCTGGCGGGGTATTGCTTTGCAACACTTCCCAGGAGAAGTCCGAGAGCAAAACGTCTCTGTCAATGCGTGCGCTTCTCTCCCTTGTGGAGCTGACGCAGAAGCATACACTAGACTTAAGTACCTTCCAGGTCCTCGCATGTCCCGGATCTCCACGTTCAGGAAGGGCAGAAAAGGATTTCCACAGAAGGGGCAGGTGGTGTTCAGGTTGGAGTCGTCAGCTGTCCAGCCAGCCATGATCTCCTCATCATACACCAAACAGTCACATGTTTTACACCGAGAACAGCTGGAGATCAGCAGCTGGAGAGAGAAAACACACACACAAGCAAACATACATTTAAGCCTTCTGGAAAACACGCCAAAAGTTCCAAAACCTCTAGTAATCCCTTGTTTTTTGCTTACTTTATTACTGCTGCACCTGGAGAAATGACCACATACGTTGGTACTTTATTGGCTGCGGTCTTTAGGTTCCTTAAAATGTAAAGTGGAACCACTGCAGACAGTTTACCATTATTAAGAAACTAAATAGACTCAGTTCAATAAGCTCCCTCAGAAAAACAGTTTTTTTAAAACCATTTATTCAGAAACGCGTCACAGAACTGATTCAGAGAAAAGTCGTTATCTGCCAAACCAATAAAACTCTCAGCTGCAAGAGTCATGCAGATGTTTCACTGAAAACAACCCACTTCAAATAAAAATGTTTTAAATCTAAGCTGACCTCAAGCTGCTTTAATTCATAATCTGAGCCAGGAGTTCAGTGCTGTGATCAAACTCTTCTGGTTTTTACCTCCATGGCGTAGTTGCTAAAGATGCTGGTGTTGCTGGTGTAGCGAGAAGAGCCGAGGTCTGATTTGTCTGGCAGCTGGAACCTGGAAAGAGAGAGGGTAGGCCCTGCAAACACACAGTAACTGGTCAGAGAGGAAGTTTATGTGATGCTGACATATTAGTGTGGTGCAACAAAAATTATAAAAGGATTAGTGTTCAAATGATGGTTTTGTGCTAAAGCTACTAACTGATTTTGATTGTTTTACAAATTAAGTAAACAAAAGAAAAAATGTTTCTTCAGCGGTTGAAAATTTAGTTTAAAATCAATAATTTAGGAGAAGTTGTGTTTACCAGCGAGAAGAGAGGAGGGCCTCCTGAAGCTGCAGCTCGCTGTGGGACTCTCCACCCTGCTGTGAACGGGGCTCTGTCTGGGACTCCTGTGGTGCCCCCGGAGGCCAGACAGGCCATTTTTCTGTGGAGAAATCACTGAGCACTCCAACTCTGAACAGTCATCTTCATCCAATAGGGAGGAGCAGTCTGGGTCTCCAGCACCAAGGGAGGACACACTGAGACGGTCACCGTGACTGTCCTGAAGGGACAGAAGAGAACTCAGTCAGCAGGTCGACATCTACAGAGACTGTTGGTGTGAAACAACGTGACACACAATCACAGCTGGGCTTTTGGATAAGTAGGAGTTCTCACAGATCTCCAGAGTACCAAATATGTTAGAGTCCATCAACATGACAGGCCGTCACAACCCAAAGTTCATGGTTTTAATAAACTATGTCTAAAAGTGTGCACCAGGGGGCGGTCTTATGTAAGGCAGCAGCTCTAACAGGATTGAATTTGTTATTAATACAGACCTAATAATATTTATTTTAGCTTTAATGCACAGTAAAGACACAAACTTTAACACAGGTGACAATGTTTGGACTTTTCATTTGGTGCGCATGACCCTGCCTTATATCAGACACAAACTCATCCTTTGTTCTTTGGCATTCAGTTTGTGTTTGATTTACTAGAATAGTTGAAATATTGATTGGTCACACTGATATTCTGATATTGATCAAACATCATTCAGCTCCAATGTGAACAAAAATCAAGTAGTAATTCTCAGTGTTTTAATTAATGGAGGTACAGGTGTTTTTAAAAATTTGAGTATCTCCAAGTTCATTTGGGTATCAGCCTCAAAGAAATATAGGTGAAAGGTGTGGTTAATAAAACCTCCCCAGCAGTACCTTGGTGGGCGTGGTGTACATGGCCAGGCGTGAATACCAGCGGCTTGCCTTCTCAGCCACGCCCTTCCCAGCAGAGAACATGCTGGTTTTGAACACATCTAGAGTTGGTGTGAGCAGAGTGTCCATAGCAAAGGAGGAGGAGGATGGTGAAGGTGACGCCAGGCTGGCTCTATCGACCCGCTCCCTGAAGGGACTGGGTCGAGGGCTGAGGCTGGGACTGGTGCTGGAGCTCTGACAGGAAGTTGACGACCTCAGGCGCTGGCGGGAGATGGGCTGAGAGGGTGAAGTTTGGTGGAATGTGCATGAGCGTGGTACTCCTGCCATCTTCAGGGGGGAGCTATGGGGCAGGCTGGACCTGCGGAGGGCAGAGTTGGAGGAGGGGTAGAGGAGGAGGGGGCTGCTCGGATCCTGCAGATCTGAGCTGGGTGTGCGGCTGCTTAGCGGTGTGTCCAAGTGGTTCATGTAGAGCTCGATTTCTCTGGCCAAGTTCCTGCCGGAGCTCGGAGTGCTGACATCGTCCGCAGCAAACCCATCCATGTCCTGCCGTCTGGTCTCTGCAGCCAGAAGGGACAAGGGGTCAAACCCAGTTTGGATCCCGGTGCGTTTGACTGTTCCTTTGGCTATCACAGTGCTCACGGCTCCATAGCTGGAGCTGCGTTCAACAGCTTTCTTGTGAAGTCTGATGTGAGAGTTGACCCCTGTGGCAGGCTTGTCTATTTCCAAGTCCTCAAAATCAAAGATGGTTTCAGTTTGACTCCTGTCTTCATCACTGGAGTCCTGCCCCTCCTCTTCCTCCTCACAACCTCTGGAATTCCCCACTTTAGCAACAACCTGCGAATGGAACCTCTTACTGTTGCAGTAATTAGCACTAGAAAATATTTTGGCATCAGCGCCCAAGTGTCCTGCGATCTTCCCTGGATCGGTTTCAGCCTGGCCCATACCGAGGCTGAGGACAGTGGTGCTGCTGCCGCTGCTGCCCACTGTGTCCCCGCTCAACCTGCGGGCTTTCACGCCCTGCCAATCTAAAGCGGAGCCACTACCGGTGCTTCCCACCACCTCCTCCAGAACACTCTTGTGTTTCCTGAGCAAACTGTGCGTGTGAACCTCCCCGATCTCCTCCAGAGAGGAGGTGAAGAGCAGCCCTGCAATGTGGCCTGTGGAGAGAAAGAGACGTAGGAGCATTCTGGCTCATACATGTGGGAACTTACAGATCTTTCACTAGCATCTCCTCACATCTTGTGAGAATAAAGGTTTGATTCTATTAATAAAGCTCAGCTGGTATAAAGTACCTGAGCTGGCGGAGGTCTTAGGTTTACAGGAAGAGTCCTCATAGGGGTAACTGCTGCGAACAATCCCTCGAGGTTTGAAGGAGGAACTGATCTCCAGGTCCAGCTGAGGAAGGCAGTCCTTACTTCCTTTTGCACTCTCTGTCTCTGACACTGAACACATAGAACATACCTATCAAAACTGGACACTTAAATGTGGAAACAGCTCCAAACTACAAGACAGTTTCATGTGCCAACAAAGAAAATCTAAAAATCTCTAAAGATAAACAAAAGAAAGCTGAGGAACAAGGAAAGCCCTTGTGCCCCCACATTGAAGTCTAAGGTGAGATTAGATCAGACGTCCTACTGACGGGAGCTGCAGTCGCTCTCTTTCTTCTCATCTCTGTCGGGGGCCGAGTCCTGGGAGGTGGGCTCTCCCCTCCTAACTTCCTCTTTGGACATGGAGTTGTAACCCAAATCCGACTGATCTCCTAGAAAATCAAGAAAAAACAAAATTGGGATGAAATGAAAATAATATTTTTAAGACAGCAAATACAAAAACTACATATATGAATCCTATAAAGCGATGATGCTACTGATGCATCTTATCCTCTAAGGCTGAGAGGCAGAAGAACACAACAGAGAAAGCATTTGCTGGGTAAATCCTCCTCTGGGTGTTCAGAGATCTGCTGTCTCTGCAGCGTTTTCACAGCTGCTGATGGATACGGCTGCTCAGGATGGAGGCCAACTCCCCCATCTGCCTGCCGAGCTTCTCTGGGCATCAGACCAGTTGTCTGCTGGTTTCTTCTCCTCCATCCCTTCTATGAACTTCTTGTGTTTTCATCTCTGTACAGCTTCTGTGTAATATTGTATGAAGCCACTTGCAACTGTTGGCCCTCTTTCAAGAGTGGTGATAATAAATGAACCGCACATGGAAGACCTTTCTACTTGCAGTGAAATCACTCATTCCTCGCAGCACACAAGGCCACGCCCCCTGTTGGGGTATCGCCTCCATGATTAACAATCATAATCAAAGAGGAAGAGCCTTAGGGGAATGATGCTCTATAATTAACAATGACTCAAAAGTGAGACTAAGCGTGAAGGGCAGAGGAGATAAAGGAAAGACACAACAGAAATATGAGATCACAGAGGTAGAGAAACACAAAAACAGCATAACTAATGGAGGTGAGATGAAGAGACAAAAGCAACCAAAGAGAGAGGAAAGAAAGAGGCCGACTGATTGAGAGGTTTACCTGGGAAGAGAGTGGCTTCTCTGAGCTCAGAGCCCACCCAGCATGAGTGGGCTGCCCCGGGCCGGGCACCCACGCTGCCGCCACCGTGGCCGACTGCATGCAGAGGCAACACAGGCAGGGCCAGAGTGAAGGGCAGGGTTACAGAGCACAGCAGAAACCACAGGAGTGAGGGGGAGTAATGGTTTCACAGAAAAGTGAGGGAACAGGCAGTGAGGGGAGAGGGTGTTAAAGGAAGAGAAGGACAAAGATGGTCGGTGAATGAAGCAAATTAGGAAGGAGGGTCAAAAATGTCAGTGAAAGAAAAAAAGATGTAAACCAAAATGACGTCTGAAGTGTACCTGTGCTAGATCTATCATCAGTGGGGTCTACTTTGACGGGGTCAGAGGTGAAGGGGCCTTGCTCGGCCACGTTAGTGTCAGCAGAACTATCCATGCTGCTGTGACTCACAGCGTCCAAGTCACTGCCATCTGCCCAAAAACAACAAGTCGTTAAAGCAAGTCAGCCATCGCTTCTCTTCCAACAGGGCTCCATTTTCTCTGTTTTAAACCATTTTGTTTTTGAACATTTACTCTGAAACATCACGCCAAGGCAATCTGAAAGTCATCTAAGAAAGCCGTAAAAAATAAATGCAGTATTTTTATCTTGTGTCAAATATAAAACTTGGATTCGTTCCCAGACTCAGAAGCATTTCAGCACAATACTGTTTGTTTTTGAATGGTGTCTTCAGATGGCGGGCATTATTATGTCCTACACAACTCAACCAAATCTCTAATTTGAAGGGGCCATATTGTAGAAAATCCACTTTTTAGAGTGTTTTAACATGTGATGTTGTTATTTCCTCATGAAAAAAAAAAAAGAAAACCAAACCCATTTTTGGCTGCATTCATGCATTTTCCTGTTTCAGCTGCTAATTTTGAGTTTTATTTTGAAAATCTTGTAAAGCGTCAATGGAAATTAGTCTTGTCATCAGGCCCTGCTCCACTCCTGGAAGATAATCTCTGGTCTGAAACCTGTCTCCCCTGGCCAGTTCAGATATGTGTCTTAGACGACCCATACCATATAGTGGACTTAGTAGTCCAGTGGTTAGTGTGCTGGGCTGGCATGTTGTTTTGTGCAGGTTTGATCCCGGTCTGAGCAGTAACTATTTTCTTCTTATTTAACCACACTTGCCAGTATGACATTTTCAAACCTTTATTGGTAAACCGTTTAAAAAGTAAGGACTAATCAGTTATTTTTTTTACTTTCTTCGTTTATTTAGCCAGTGTGACTCCATGTGAGGTGAGCAGAGTAAGTCAACTAAAATGCTGCTAGGAAACGACCTAATCAAAGATCTTTAGAGACACAAAATATTTTACAGAAGAAAATCAATAAAACTAAAATATAAAAACATTAGATCTGCTTCAGCAGGCTAAATGAATTACTGCCGACACCACTGGTTTTGCAAATGGCAAAACCAGTGGTGTCGGCAGGAAGACTCCTTAACCACTGGACCACCATAGCCGACACAGAAAATGACTCACCATAGACGCTGTTGTTGGCACGCTTTATCAGAGCACACGTGGGCAGAGTTTCACTGAAACAAAGTGTTTTATTTCCAGGTATAAATTGAGGCCTATGAAAATAACTCATATTTAAGATAAATGACATCGTAATAGTGCCAACGGTAATGTTTTATTGCATACTGTGCCTGCCTCTGCTCTCAAAGGTTTAAATTAGCATGATATGGAATCTTTTACACTAAAATCTCATGTTTAACAGGATTTTCAGAACTTTCATTGACATTACTTTATCAACAATGATAACAAGTCTATTATATAGAAAATAAAAATTACACACATCATTAAATATAACAGCAGTTTTTGCTCGAACGTAACTGAAAACCTGCTTTTGGGGCTGATACATGAGTTTAGCTCAGTTTGGTGTTTTTTATTGTTGTCAGGGCTGACTACAGAGCAGCTGTGTACAACAACGCTGTGTGAAAAACAGCTGCTGGCAGGCCAGTGGGTCGTGGAGATTTAATTGGGTTATCCTTTTTCTTATTCAACAGATAAATAAGTAATATCCTAACTGAAGATGTGCCAGAAAGCTGAGGGGCTCATTCCAAAGCACTTGTGCAAAGGAGAAATACATTCTGTTTCTGAAAACTGATCTAAAGAAAACCTGCAACAACAGAAGTGTATTTATGTGACATGAAGCTCTCACCCTATGTTCTACTCCTTCATGTCTAAATGTCAGCAGTAACACTAGTCTAGCATGTCGTGCTTTTGTACTGGCATGAGTGCACAGTGTCTATTCAAATAAACCTTAAAAAACAATTAAAACAAATCAGAGTCGTCCAGAATGCTTATTTTCTACATAACCTGAAGAACAGTTGGGTCATACCAAAGACTTTGATAAAAATGGGACCCAGTGCTTCCTCACTTGACTCTCAGCATTAAAGAGTTGGATTGGGGGGTTGAACCACCAAATGAGTACCGAGCGCTGCTATGTCTGCAGCTCACCACTTCCCTAGGGGATGGTCAAACGCAGAAAACAAATTTCACACTAAACAGTGTGTGACAACTGGAACTTTACCTTGAACATATTCAGACAATGAAAGGTTAATCGGTCTTTGTTTTCAGAAGGCTCATCCTCATATTCTTCCTGAGCTACTTCCATTTGTAGCTCTGGCCAGGTGTCAGTAGGCTGGTGAAGAAATTATGGACCCTGACTCCACCGGTTGGGCTGACTGAGCTCATGGAGTGTCTTCCCACGGGTAAGGTCATCTGCTGGATTATCAGAGGTGCCGACATACCGCCAAGTTGACCCTTCGGTAAGTTCTTGAATTTCAGCGACCCTCGTTCCAACAAAAACCTTGTATCGACTTGAGTCTGATTTCAGCCATGTCAACACTGTAGTTGAGTCGGTCCATAGTGTTATCTGCTGGGGAGAGAATGACAGCTCTGTCATTTTGACCTTAGCCTGCTGAGCACCGGCTAGAGCTGTGCACAATTCAAGGCATGGCATTGACAGCTGTTTTCGAGGGCAAACACGAGATCTAGGCATCATAAATGCAACGTGAATATTGCCTTGGTTATCGGGAGTTTGAATATACTCAACTGCTCCGTAGGCTCTTTCGGAGGCATCGCAGAGGATGTGTGCTTGTCTGTTAGGCACTTCAGGGGCCAAGGTTGCTGGAACATAGCATCTTGGGATTTCCACTTGTGGGAGGTAGACCAGCTCGCTCTCCCATTGTATTTCCAGTAGAGCCTTGGGTTGAATCTGCTCATCCCAGTCGACTCCCACTTTCCACAGGTCCTGGATGAGGATCTTGGCTCGAGTGGTGAATGGGATAAGATACCCCAGTGGGTCATACTGCGTGGCCATCACCTTGTAGATGTTTCTCAGGGTCAGCTGAGAATACTCTACCGGTCGGTGTCTGTAGCCGAGGCGATCAGAGAGGCAATTCCAACGTAGGCCTAAAGCTGGTTCCTCTGGGTCTTGTCGGGATTGGGAAAGCCACAGCTCGGTACTAGCCGCTTTGGCTTCAGCAGGAAGGTGTTCCAAGCAGCTGGATCGTTGCTAGCCCACTGCCTTATATCGAACCCTCCAGCAGAGAGCAGACTGCGCAGTCGGTCAACTAGGGTCTTAGCTTTATCAGCAGTGGTGATGCTTGTTAGACAGTTGTCCACATAAAATGCACTTTCAACTGTATGCAGGATGTCTTCATGCCTCTTACTGTTGTCCTTCACGTGCCTCTGGAGGGCAAATGTTGCCCAGCAAGGACTGCATGTTGTTCCAAATGGCAGAACCTACCACTCATATACAGTCAGTTCCTCCGCTCTCTTCATACCTCTCCACAAGAAATGGAGCAGCGGTTTGTCTTCTGGTAGCAACCAAACTTGGTGGAGCATCGCTTTGATGTCACCGCTGACAGCCACACTGTGTTCTCGGAACCGAAGAAGCGCGCAGAGAAGTGAAGGATCTAGGGTCGGCCCGGGCAGGAGCTGGCTATTTAGACAGTGTCCGTTGTGCTGGTAGGAACAGTTGTGGACAATTCTTGCCTTTCCATTATGGTGGACAACATGGTGAGGAAGATACCATGACTCCTGGGAGCTATCTACTGTAGCTGAAGGAAGAGGTTTGGCATAACCTAACTGTTCAAGTCTATGGATTTCTTGACAGTAGGTATCTGCCAGAGCTGGATCTTTAGCTAGACGACGTTCAGTACTACGTAGCTGTGGGAGCAAAGTGTTCTTTGATGCCCAGAGGAAGGGACTATCCTTGAGCCTGAGAAGTGGAGTAGCATATCTAGTCACTCCATCCACTTCCACTTTAGTGGTGCATTGCTCTAACAGGTCTACAGCCTGTTGATCCTCTTTAGAACGTGTGGCAGTGTTTATGTTCACATAAGGCGAGATGTCAACTTCCCACAGACGTTCTACATGGCGCTGGAGCTCTGAGTTGGGAGACATGGTGAAGTAGCAGTCCGGGTGGTCAGCAGAAACATGACTGAAGTTGGCTGGGCCTTGTAAGGTCCAACCAAGAGGAGTGCACACCGCTAGGGGGTTCCCAGGTGGGCCAGCTATTACTGGTTGCTTAGGGATGAGTAGATGAGGGAAATCAGACCCAATAAGAAGTAAAGGCTGCACTCTGTCCACAAGTGGAAGTGGAAGTCCTCCCAGATGGGACTACTTTCGCATGAGTGACTTTACAGGGTAGCTGAGCTCTGAGAGACTTAGTTCATCAGCAGTGAAGGCATGGTGAATGCTGTACTTTACTTTGGGAGTGTGAACTGGAGATATTTCAAATAAAACTGTATCTCCCTGAAGGCGAATCACCTCATGGCGGACAGTGCGCAGGGGAAGGTTTTCAGGCTCTTTAGTCAGATGGAGGCGTCGCACTGCTGATGGGAGGATAAGAGTCCTCTCAGACCCGTCATCGAGGATAGCAAAGTCTTCCAGGGAATACTCAGCATTGTGTAGACATACTTTGACCAACTTGAACATGACTTTATTTGGGCAGTTTGGACGGTCGATGTACACTGTATTGGAAGCAGCGTTGACCATTAACACCTTTTTCGGTTCTTGAGGGCACACGTCATGGAGCACAGTAAGATGTTGTTGCTTACATAATTTACAGGGCTTCTTTAGAGTGCAAACCTCAGGTGCATGATTCCTGCTGCACCGCCAGCAGCTTCTGTGTTTGATCCATGTGGCAATTTCAGCTGCTGAAAGAGCTTTGAATTTAAGACACAGGCTCAGGTAATGTCCTCTGTTGTCACAATAAGGGCAGTAAAGTTTAGGACCTGATTTAGGCTTAGGTAATCTTATAAGGCCAGCTGGATCTGGAGGTGTGGCTTTAGCCTGGCTCTCTGTGTTGTAGTACACGTTGGATGAAGGACCCTGAGGTTTCTTCTGATTCCTCAGCTTTGGTTGATCTTGACACATGTAGGCTGCTCTAGATGAGATTCGCTTGGCTTGTGATT